GCCATGTAGGCGGCGTGCAAACGATGATTTGTAATCAGATTACCCTTATTAACTGTACCAACTGTACAGTTTTCATTACCCCTGCAAATATGTCGGCCGGATGAAGATTTGCTGAAAACATATGTTTGCCAAACTGAATTTTCATATTGAAAAAAGCTGATGGACGTTGCCGGATAACGGTGGTCATAAGCGTACTGTCCAAATACTTACATAATAACAGACAAATAATTCCTAAAATATATCAACTTCCTACATTTAACAAAATAGAAATTTCGCTTTAGTGATTTTCTTTAAACGCACCGTGTTTTGTGATTCATCCTAATGACTACCTTTAACTAATAGAGTTTTGCTGAAACTTTTTAAAATAATTTTCGTTCCATTTGCTCACGAACTTTTCCGTTTTATCAAATTTTTACGAAATATCGTTTATTTATTATGGTGTAAAATTTGTGTGGCATAGGGTAGGCGACGTTTCGTTAAATAGATCGTCCGGCGATACATTTGTTACATTCCGTTATGATGCAAGTGCTGTATTTTCAAACTTTCCAATACCGAAGGTCACTTCAGATGCAATAAGTATATCATGCCCTCCTGAAAGGCTAATTTTTCTGCCTCAGGGTAAACACGGTTAAGCGGATAGGTACGTAGGTACACAACTGCAAGAAATCCAGCCTATCGGTGGTTCTCCCAAGAAATATCTGTGCGTTTTCTGATAGATGATGCAATTTTGGACATTTTGTGTTTTTAATAACTCCAAAATTTATTTATTTCATATAGGAAATCAATGTGTTTAAGGGTCTATACGACCGTAGTTTTATATGAACATTTTTGTCGACTTCCCTCGGCATCTTCGAGCTAACAGTGCAATATTCAAAAGCTGCCATCAGACTGTAAGTAGTATAATCAACGTAATTTATGACCGTACTTGCAGCACGAGTTTTTACTAAACACTTAGGCAAGTATCTCGCCGGTATTTTGCAGCTCAATAACAGCTGCGAGAAGTCCTACCGAAGACGTCGATTGTGGAAAAATTCATTTAAAAGCTCGGGAAAACATGTCATATAGGGAGTGCTGCCCCGACCGAAACCCTTCTACAGTTCAGAAGTAGAAATTGCGGTAACTGGAACAAGAAGTTTATTTTCCTTACGTTTCGGGTTCTGAAGGGAATCCATAATCATAGGCAATCGTATAATGTTGAGACATGCAAAGATTGGGGGGATACTTGCACAGGTTGCGCCGACTTTATAGTTCTTATTGTTAATCCACATAAGTATTTTAATAAGCAGCTCCTGTAAGAACCGCTTGGGGTCGCCATTTGTGCAGAAATGGCTTGGCAGTTCAATTCCGACTCATTAATTTCCGCGATTTCATTGTCCGTGTTGGATGCGGGTTTGATAATGGCGTGAAAATTATGCTCGCTGTCGTCAGAGTGGCTGCCGGGCCCGACCCTTCCCACGTGACTGATTCTCTTGCACAGATAATTTTTAAGTACACAGTATGGGAACGGCACATAATTGCGCCTGTTGATCGACCGTAGCCTTGACGACCATAACTACAGCAGCTCGCGGCTCACACGGTTGCCACTTCTTGCGAGGATTTCGGCCTCGTTAAACTAGAAAATATGGCCGGGGTCCGTCGAATAAGCTGTCGCCTGAGAGTGAGCGTCTTCCTTTCTCATCGCCACTGCGTGCTCGGCCATTCGCGTCCAGAGTAATCTTTCGGCTTTTCCAACGTAATTGCTTTGTAGCCGACAGCACCATAGCCGGTATACGGCGCTAGCCGATTCCTGCAGTTACAGTGGCTCCTTCGTTTTTATGACCCTGCGCCTAATGATAGCTTCTGGCCTGTGCGGAACTACAAAAGCAAGTGGCTTTAGGTGTCGTAGTACTGGTTCCGATACATTCTGCACGTAGGGGAGAGATCATTAAACATTGTGCCTGTCGGATATTTTTTCTTATCTCGGCTGCGTATGTACTAGTAAACAAAATTGCTCTTAGAACCTGTCAAAATTATTGATATTCAGCAACTTTGTCTTCCACTTCGTTGGAATACGTCTCAAATACGCCGGTGTGGCGCTTTTATGCAGCTGCGTTTGTGCTTGTTTTATCTTGTTAAAAATGCAAATGGACATTGCGAAAAACGCCGCCCTTCTGCATGTGTTTTTCTGTGTTTAATATCTTCGTTCCATCCACCACTTTTAGCGATACAACCCAACGAAAAGCCTTGCTTGAAAGACCTTTCGTATATATTTTATCTTATCCATTTATTCGGCGATTTATAATTATTCTGTATGTATTTGATTTTATAAAGTAAGGTGCCCCCTATTAAATAAACAGATTAGACATTACACTGCAAACACATTAAGGCATTGCAAAGCCACTCTCTCGTAACGCAGACTTCTTTGTGATACGCGTGACATTTCACGTGCTGAATCATGAAGGCCAATTAACGTCCAGTAAGAATGGCGTGCCCAAACTGAAAGTTTCACCACACCCATGGTTTAGCCAGTTGGTCAGAATGCGCACTTGATTACGCAACCTGTTTGACAGGTCATGCGACGCACAGTAATAACCAATAGTTCTCCAACCTGACTGCAAATGAAGCCATGAAGTCCATTGACGCGCATACATTTCGCACGCAACAATATGAGACAATCCAGGCTACTCCTTCTACTCTTTGGTACGTTCAGTACGCTCTCGTTATATGCCAAGTGTTAATATAATTTATGTTCATAATGCATGATAAAGAGTTTGTAAGCCATTTAAAAATTATTTCTCAACTGCATTCCTGCCGTTAATTGATACTGTACTGCGTTCTTAAGCTCAAATATTATTCCTTGGATTATACACCTTGGTTAATTCGGAGTTTTGTTCAATCCTTAAATGAGCAACATTTCAATGAGAGCTCTCTGAAGACAGTCCTCACTAGGCAGGGTTTAGAAGTAAGAAATGCGAATTCAATATTTTTATTCGTTTTAACGTTCGATGAAGTTATATACTTAAAAAGGTCTGGTAATAGTTATAATTGACGCTAAGGTAGACCTACGCAAAAGAAGGCTTCCTATACATGCTTTTAAATTTATTTTTTCTCCCTGTCATACCGCTATCGACTTTTACTTGGATACATCGTGCAATTGTTGTAGTGCACTACAGTGAGATGTAGCATAACACGTATAAGTGAAGTACTTCTCGGCATGTTAACGGAATGCAGCAACTGATTTGAAAGCTGCTTTGTCAAACTATCATTCCATCCTTAGCTGGAAATAATGCAACTCGGACACATGTTTTATCTCAAATCTTTCACAGATTAGCATTCACAATTTCTGACCGAACTGGACAATGTAAACAACGACACGATTTTTATGCTGTTGTCTTACGTTAATTATTAGTGCAGAAAAAATCTCATTGTCTCTTATAAACGCAAAAGATATGCTTTTGGAGATATATTGGGCTGAGGAGGCACGTAGTCATATGCTTGGAAGTGCATAAACAGTATTTATAGATAGGTAAATTACATATTTCATTGACAGCAGTAGAATGTGTTTCATATAGTACATGGTTCTTGCAAGTCAATCGAAAAAAATAAATTGACTGACATCAATCTAAATACTTTATTGTTTTTGCTCAAAATTTCCGCGAGGTAGCAAGCTGCATTTGTTTTCTCAAAATTCGTTAAGCGAAGTTGACATAATCCTATCGACGTTACCCGCAAAAGCATCTATAATAAAATACTGTTAATCATATATGACATGCGTGTAAGCACATAAGCTTCAATAAAATGGTAACAAAATAAGATGTGCTGTCTGAATTAAACGGCTGCCCTTTCATTCTCCTTTTCAGTT